AAATGAGAGGCAAAATAAACTTTTTGTTTTTATAAGTTAATTATCTAAAGTAGTTTGTTCCAGTGACGGAAGGCTAACACACTTGATTTTATAGGTTTGTAACTGGAAACATTTGTCTCAGCTCACTCATTATCTGATTTAAATGATATTTAGATTTTAGACTTTAGGGTTTATGCTGGAATAAGGTTAAGTCTTCTGGAGATAATAACATGTAATAACCATATTTTGCATATGAGAAGGACATGAATATATCGGACCAGATTGAATGTCTATGTCCCCCACCAATCCAAATGTTCAAACCTAACCCCCTATTTAATGGTGATTAGGAAGAAGAGCCTTTGATAGTTGACTAGGTCATGAAGGGGAACCTTACAAAGAGAACTAAAAGTGTTCCCCTGGCCCTTTTATCACATGAAGATACAATAATAGGGCAGCTATATATGAACCAGGGAGTAGGAACCCACCAGATACCAAATCTGTGGGCATCTTGAACTTGGACTTCGTAGCCTCCTAGAACTGTGTGACATACATATTTGTTGTTTAAGCCACCCAGACTATAGTAATCTATTTTAGTTTAAACCTAAAACTATAAATGTCAGCTCAAAGGAATATTGAACAAACTAAAATCTTGTATGCAAAAATGATCCTATTTAAGGACACACCCCCAGTGATGTCCCACTGGGCCCCACCTCCCAAAGGGACTACCATCTCTCAAGAATACCAAGCTAAGACCAATCCTTTAACACATTGGCCTTTGGGGGATGTTCAGTATCCAAACTATGTAGCACCACGGAAGTTTGTGTTTCCAAAATACAATGATGGGACAGGAGCAGGATAGATATTCTGTTCCAAGAGGGATAAATAGGAAAGAAAGGAGTAATGAATCCCAAATAAGTCCAAACTACAAGGCTGACTTCATGAGATCTTAAGGCTTGAAAATAATCTTTTGGCTTAATACTCTGCCTTCAAGGCTCACTGGAGGGGAAGTCCTACCTTCTTGTCACAATGGGCTGGAATCCTGCCTTTTGAACCCACTAGATTTGGCACTTCTGCCCCTGTAACTGCCAAACAGCAGTTAAGTCCCCAAGGCTTCAGGTGATCCCACCCTCATGTCCTTAGATAGTTTCTCCCCCACAGCTTTGGTGGAAATTGTCTGGTCTGTTGAAAATGAGGCAGTGATCCCTTCTTTTGAAACCAAGGATGCAGCCCTGCTGATCTCTGAATCGCCTTCAGGATCTGTCATCATCTTTATTTTTTTCCCAAAGAGTAGTGTCTGCTGAGGTAACTCATCAGGCCCATGATTCACACCTACACTAATCTCTTTATTAAACAGTTGCTCTTCTAAATACACCCTTATTTTTGTGATGTGGATAAGCTGAGAGTTTTCCAAATCTTTACATGCTAATTTCTTTTTTTTGGAACCAGTAATTGAACTCAGGGGTGCTTAACCACTGAGCCACATTCCCAGCCCTCAATTTTTTACTTTAAGACAGAGTCTTGGGGCTGGGGTTGTGGCTCAGTGGTAGAGTGCTCACCTAGCACGTGTGAGGCACTGGGTTCAATCCTCAGCACCACAAAAAAATAAATAAAATAAAGGTATTGTGTCCAACTACAACTAAAAAAATATTTTAAAAAATAAAAGACAGAGCCTTGCTAAGTTGCTTAGGGTGTCACTAAATTACTCAGGCTAATTGGGAAATTGCAATCCTCCTACCTCAGCCTCCTAAGTCACCAGGATTACATGGTGCCCAGTCATTCCTTTCCCCTTGCATTTTTCCATAAAGGAGCCAACCAAGACCTTCAGAACTTTGCTTAGAAATTGCTTCAGCTAAATATCCAATTTCTTCACTTTAAGTTATAAGACTCTAGTACACGAGCACAATTTAGCCAACTTCTTTCCCTCTTTATAACAAGGATTCTCTTTCCTTAGTTTTCAATACCATGTTCTTTATTTCTGAGAATTTATCAGAATGGCCTTCACAATACATATTTCTACCAACAATTTTCTCAGGATTCTCAGGTGTTCTCTAGAAAGATTAAGGCTTTTTCTGTATTTACCCTCTTTACTTTTTGAGCCCTTACCAGAATCACTTTTAAAGATTTGCTCATACCAAAGTAGATTTTTTCCTAGCATGCAGCTAAAAACTGTTTCTCCTCTTATTACCAAGTTCTAAGCCTTTTCCACATTTTCAGTGTTAGAGTAGCACCCTTATCTCTTGTTATAAATTTCCTATCTAAGCTTGGGCTGTAATAATAGTCTGGGTTGCTTTAAATATAAATTTGTTTCTCATAGTTCTGGAAGCTGGAAAGACAAAGTTCATGAGACTAACAGATTTAGTGTCTGGGGAAGGATCACTTCTTGGTTCCTTGACAGCCATCTTCTCAGTGTGTTCTCATATGGTATGTGAAGGACTGCAGGAATCCTCTGGGGCTCTTTCTAAGGGCACTAAGCCCACTCTGGAAGGCTCTGCCCTCATGATTGAAAAATCTACCACACCCTACTTCCTGATGCCATCATGTTAGGTTTTAGGGTTTCAACATATGAGTTTGGGGGGTGGGAGACACAAATAGTCTATAACACTTGGGATCTCAACTAGTCTTTTGATTTAAATACTGTTTATGCCAATGACTTGCAAATTAAATCTCTAGGCATGACCTCTTCCCTCAAGTCAAATTTACTTGGATGACAAATTGGCATCTCAAACTTAGCATGTCTGACTCAGAAATATTGATTTTCACCCCCACCCACTCTCCCAGCATCTTAAGTTATTGGCACTGTTTGTTGTTCAAAATAAAACTTAAAGAGTAATGTCTTATTTCTCTTTCCTTTGTTTTACATGTAACTTCTCAATCCTCTTTATTCTACCTCCAAATATACCCCAGTTCTATCTTCTTCCTTCTTCTCTAGTAAACTCTATAGTCCAAGCCACTGTTACAGTGGCCTTCCTCCCCTTTCTCCCCAGTTTCACTTTTATGTTAGTCAGGTCATGCTGTTTACCCTGCTGATGATCCTCAGGGCACCTACTTGGTCAGGCTCTTAGTCCTCCATTATTCCACTTGAACTGCACTTCACAGACATGCTCCCCTCTTCATGCCCAGCTCACTGCCTACTTGGGGTCTTTGTCCTAGCTGAACTGTTTGCCTAAAACACTCATTCCCAAGGTTTTCTCCTGTCTGCTTCTGCAGGGACACCTAGTTTCAATGTGACTTCTTCCAAAAGGTTTTTCTTTACTATCAACCCAATATTATCTCCAGTTATTTCCTATCATAGTTGGCAGCTCAGTGATAGCGTGCTCGCCTAGCATGCACAAGGCATTGGGTCCGATCCTCAGTACCATGTAAAAATAAAATAAAGATATTTGGCCCACCTAAAATTAAAAAATAAAAAAGTCATATTTATAATTTTTTCATATCATTTATCATATTTATTTTGGGTTATCTGTTGTTTGTTTTACCTGGCTCTGTATCTCACTCAGCACTTATGATATTTTCTGGAATATAGTAGTAATCTAATATTATTAAATAAAAACACAAATCTCACTTCACTTTTATATTAACCAATTGTAGTAACATTGCTGCCCAACAACACTGTGGTAGTGTCTTCATGTAAGCTGACCCCTGAGATCATAGCTTAGCATCATACCTACATCATTACATAAGATAAATAAAAAAGAATGAAAAATAAAATCTACCCCATAAGTAAATAACACACTTTTTAGATTGACTTCTAGTTCTAGAACATTGATTCTGAGAAATACAAAGAGGTAAAAATATTACAGCTGACGATCCCTCCAATTAAGTTTTATCAAGTCTGGAAAGATTAAATTTCTTATTATTATACAAATGAGTGTTTAAGTATAAAGAAAATTAATGTAACTAACAAAATAATAAGATAGTTGATAAACTGTGTAATCAAATAGGAAGTATCTTTTTCTCACCTTATTTTTTTAACTCTAGTAAACTATACCCTGAAATATGTTAAACTAAACTATTAGCAAAAGTTATTTTCCATGTAAAAGTTATCTTCAGTTTGTGATGCCTTAAGGAATATGTAAAAAATAATAATTATGGTCTATCTGAAATTTTGATGTGTTCAGAGTAAAAACTACCATTTTACAGAAATTTTTTTTATGTGTGCTGGGGTCAAACCCAGGGCCTTGTGTGTGCTAGTCAAGCACTCTACCAATAAGCTACATCCCCAGCCTTTAAAGGAACTTTTAAATTTAAATTAGTCAATTAAATAGAAAATATTACTTTGTATTTTGGAAACACTTTGTATTTTGTAAAAGTAAACAAGTGAGCAATTGAAAATGAAATCACATTTCTCGCTATATTTGAAGGGAAAAAGATATTGCTTTTTCCAATGATTTATCACTTAAAATTTCAATGAGCTTCTGAAGAAATGGAAATAATTTTGCCAAATATAGCTTAGAAAATGAATTAAAAATATATAAAAGCATCTCACCTTCCATTCCTCTCAAGTACAAAAGCAGATTATTATTAAATCTTCACATTTTTAATGATTATCTCATGTTTATTTCTGGCCCCAAAATAGTCATTCAGGTTAGTATTGTGATTCTTCTTGTTTCTCCCTGGAGAAATCCTTCCTGAATCTCTAGTCATGCTTGTGTAATGCTTTCAGTGGTCAGATTTTAAATGTCTGGGAAGAATTTACAGCAATAATAGCCTTTCTAGGTTCTTCAGTAACCATCATCTTTTAAACTGAATTCTGGTTTGCATGTTTTAGCCTTTAATATTTTGCATAGGTAAGTCCGCCAGCCCCACAATCAATCATACAGTTTAAGAAACTGTAGATAATTTAGAATGTGTCTTAAAATTCTTTTTGTCTAACTTCTCTCTCAGAACTGTTTTCAGCTTATTTTTTTCTTGAACATATTATAATTAATGTTCTGTGTTTTACTCTCCCTTTTTATCCCTCTTTCTTTTGCTTAGTTGATTTCTGAATGTTTCCCTTTATTCCTGTGATCTTTTCTTCATAGCGGCATTCTCTGGGTGAAGCTTTGCATAAATCTATCAACAATGTAAGTGAGCGGCACTTACAATTTATACACAAGGGCATGTTGCACTTTTGATTTTGCATAAATGACATCACTGCTTTAAAGCTTTAACTTAAATAAAAATTTGGAATTCAATAGAATATGCTTTGTTATATGGATACTAATTGCTTTTAACTTTCAGCCACTCATTTATGTATGTACATACATCTACCACATTGTATTAAAAACACAATTTAGTAATAAAGTCAAACAAGATCTTAGCTCTCAAACATAAAATTCATTCTTTAATGTTAACATTGAAAGATATAGCAATATTTTTAAACTATTAAGTAGTTGATTATCATAAATATGGAAATGAATATAAATATTTATTTATTTTTGTTAATCTTTTTTTAAAAAAAAGTGGTGTTAGTGCACTTTTTATTTAAAAGGATCAGGAAGTTATGAAGGCTCATGAGGTTTAGAACGTAGTTTACATAATATTATAATTACTAACAGAAATACATTTTCACACACTGAAACCTTTAGTTCACCAAAAAAAAAACAAAAAAGTTTTATTTTCATACCAAACCCACATTTAACTTGTCCTTTAAAATAACAGAGTTATCTTTGAATACTTTTCTTGATATCCTAGAGCAGGGGGCTTAGTATACTTTTCTGTAGAAGACCAAATGGTAAATACTTGTGGCTCTGTGGGTTGCTACTTGACTGCAGTTGTAGCATGAAACACTCACAGATTATGTATCAACCTGTTGATATGACTGTGTTCCAGTACAACTTAATTTATGAAACAGGCTCTAGTTTACCAATCCTTTCCTGGAGAGATCAAAGCTTCAAGTCTAGAGATGTCCTGTGAAGTCTAATCTTCAAATCTAGAGAATAACCTACCTTCTCTGCACGCTATGTCTATCCAGCCTCCCGTGTAAAAGTTAAGCACCTGGCAAAAGGTTTTTTTCTACATATGTCATCTTTTTAAACAAGTGGTTATTGATACATCTCTTCTTTATAGATGCTTTCTAAATAGTTTTAGTTCTGAATGAGAATGTGATTGGTAACACATTCTACAAGTATCTCTAGGAAATTATGAAGCATTATTGTGGTTCTTAATTGATAAATTCAGTTTACAAGTCTTTAAAAAAACAAAAATTATAAATTTTTTGAGCCAAATTTTTTTTCAGAATGATTATTTTGCAAACTTATTTTTCTTAAGTAGATTCTTCAGTAATAGCAAATTAGGTGTAAAAGGAATTGAAGTATTTAAGCACCTTTAAGTGTTACACATGAGCATTTACATAAGTCATTGATGTATTAATATTCTTTTGTGTATTACCATATCCTCTACTAAGCCTAGGTTGGCAATTGCTGTGTTAATGTATATATTTGAAAGCATCTAACTAAATATTAATGCCTAAATTAATAAGGACAATTTTATCCTAGTTATTTTACTAAAGGGAGGTACTTAACTTTTTTTAAGATGGGGATTTCCATTTAATCCCATAACAAACTCGAAAGTTCATTTAGCTAGAAAGAAAGAAAAGGGGAGAGGCAAGGAACAGTAATTGCCATAAGAAATGTGTATAGTCATTCAAAATAATGGGTAAGGGGTAGCCAGGCATGGTGGCCCATTTCTATAAATTCAAGCCAGCTTGGGTAACATAAACGTTGTCTCCAAAATAACAATTAAGCAAAATGGGGCATATCTACTTACCATGTGTACCCTATGAATGTTATTGTAAGGAAGAGGAAAAACTACAAGCATAAATTCATTGGCCTTCCTAAAGGAAAATCACCAAATATCATTAAATAATCCTTGATCATACTAATTTTGAGGAAGCTACACAGAATTGGCTCTGTGAGAAGCACTCTATTTACACCTGCAGGCCAGGACACCTTCATGACTTCACATCTGAAGTCATATTTACTTCTCTGATACAGATGGACGATCAGCAGCTCTAGAGGTATCTGTTTCCTCTGCTTTGGACAATAAATGCTGATCTTGTTGAAGTATGCCCCATGACCACCAAGAAACTTCTATGTAGAAGACAGAGCCGATATTTTGTCAGATTGTGGTAGATACAGTCTCTACATTTAGTGAAATCATCTATTAGTTTACACATGATACAGCAAAAGAAACCAGACAGTTTTATCAAGGCAGACACCAGAAGTTAAAATCTACAGAGATACATAATAAGTGTTATAACTCGTTTCCTCTTGGGATTGGGACAAGGAATGGGAATGAAGAGACTTTACTTCTTATTTTATATACTTCCATATTTTTTAGTTTTTCCCACAATAAATGCTTTTTACTTTTGTAATTAGGAATAAAAATATGCTGCACTGCCTGGCCCCAATTGCAGATTAAATCATAATCTCAAGGGGTCAGAGTCTAGCAACTGTGTTTATTAAAACCTGATACTCCAGGTTTGAGAACACAGAATACAGATATTACCTTAAGACATACTTTATTTTTTAGAATAAATTGTATACTTTTTGTATTCTTTGATTTCTGCTGTAAGACTGATTTGTAGGGGGCCACCAACATTGCATCAAAAAACAAACATTGTAGTGTACAATGAATCAAAATGTATTCTGCTGTCATATATACCTAATAGTTAATTTTAAAAAACCAAAGGTTGTAGATTAAATGTACAAAATTAATAACAACGTCCCATGTTAACATTCTACATATCCAGTACTTCAGATTTGATGTTTCAGTTTTATTTTGAGGGCGTTCTACAAGTACCGTACTAAGATACAGAACCCTTGTGAGTTAACCCTTGTCTCTCTCTTTTTAAAAAAAGTATCCATATATTTTAAATTCTAATTATTTTATTGTAACAATTTTACAGAATTCTGTCTTCTGTGCTATATTTTCAAAGAGACAGCAACACTTGATTTTAAGAAAGATAATAGTATTTAAGTGGTAGAAGTCAGAAGGGGGCAGTTACTGTCAGTGTACTTTTAAATGTGAAAAATATCTGATATTTATTAATCAGTAGAAAATATTACATAATTTATATATAAATTGCTGTGGTAAGAGTTTAAAAAATAAGAGCTAATTCTTTTCTGAAATAAAGATTATCTTTTATTTATTTAAAATGGATAAGAATATTAAAATTTTGAAGCTGTAACAAATGTGTAGAAATGTTCTACCTAATTTGAATATATTATACAATTCAAAGCATCTACTATTTCTTATTAATTAACAAATGCCTTTCTATGTATTGTATAATTCTACAATGAAAGTACTAATCTAGATTATTGCCCAAATCTTTTGATAGAAAGTTAAATCTTTGTTCTTGGTTGTTTTGAATTAATGAAGTTTTATATTAATATGTACTTCCATAAAATGTATTAAACCCAGATGCTTAAATTATAGCTATAAAATATTAGATCATTTTACATTGCTTTGCTCATTGTCTTTTAAAATGCCATGTAATTTTTATGCTGAATAAAGGCTGATTTATGTATTGTGATTCTACTAATTTATTTATTAAAGATAAATGAGTTTTGATGTTGCATTGCATGATTTATGCTTTCTGCATATCATTCACATTACTGTTGTGAGCATGAATTAAAATATTTTAGATTGCCTTATTATTTTGGTATGCTTTTCAAAATTAAGAATACAAAAATAAGTATATTTAAATATTAAACTGCATGATAATGTCTTCTGCATATAGCTTATATTATTTTCTTGAGTATAGATTTAAAGACTAATTATACATCCTAAGTTGGAAATTATTATTTTGGAGTTCTTTCAAGGTAAAGTATATTATAATACAGTAAAATATTTAAGCATATTTTAACGGGAGAAGTTTAAAACTGGTTAGATTTTAAATGCATGGCTATTATATGTTACTGTGATATTTCATTCATTCATTTTAATGTCATATTTCTTCAAAAGTTTTTTCTTAAATATTGTAGTCAGATTAACACAATTTGACACTATTGTAGTCAAAGTGACACAATGGAAGATTATTGACTCAGTGAACTTTAAAAGTAGATATTGCAGAAAACAAAATATGTACATGCTGTGAAATGGTTGACTTCCTAACTGACCTAAGTGCACACTCAATTAGAGTTTAGGATTCAGATTCATTGCCTGCCCAAGTGGTGCTTGTATGCAAAAAAGAAAATTATGCCCATTCTTTTGGGGTGGACACTATCTGTACCAGGTCAGACACTTGGAGAGCAGAATGCTAGGTCTATTTTAGTCCCCACTTAGTCACAGGCTGATAAATATCTTTGAGAATATCAACCATAATCTCACATAAAATGAACACTTTTCCCACCTTTCCCACATATACTCTAACCAGTTCTTACTAGAGATAACTAGGCATCACCATGGGTTGCGCACCTGGAAATGAGTAATGTTGAACTTGGGAAGAGAATGGATAGAGTTGCTTTTTCTACTTCAAGAACCAGCTGGCTGGGAAGAGAATTGCTCTATTATTCACACATCAGCATTCAAAAACATTTTTGTTGCCTCTTCTCTTTTTATTGTATTTTATATAATTCTGTAATTTTTATATGATCATTATATTTTATTTTCTCTAGGATGTCCGTAATATTTTTTTCATCCTGATTATCCTTGCATAAAATGGCGAGAAGTCACATGGAATAATTCTTACTCTATAAGTATGGCCTTATATGCAGCTGTGCATTCTCATGTTATTTCCACATTTGTAGGACTCGTTTCAGACTCTAAACCATGGGTTCTGGTGCCATTGAGAGGAATGGGGAGTTGCATTGCCTAGATTCACAGCCTTGCAATTCCCTCTTGGCTCTAAACATAAAATAACCTCTGAAATCTTATATTTGCGTAGAAATTAATGAGTAGAATTCCTAAACTTTGAACAGATACAGTCACTTCTTTGGAAATAAAATTATAACATTGAATATCTATGCCAGTTGTATCATTTCTCACCAGTGCTTGACTGTTTCCATAAAAGCATATGCTAACTTTTACAATTAATCCTGATTTATAATTTTATCCAAAACCCTTCCTAATGATCCACCTAAGCTCACTGCAGTCTATGACTGTTTCCTGCTGATTTAAAGGAAGATAGCCACTTGACTTTGGCATTTCCAGTTCCAGTAGGTTTTCTTTCCTCCTTTCTTGCTTTGCATTTCTGGTGAGACCCGACCCTTTCTCTGCCTTTCCTTGTAAGACATGTGAGGCAACTTACATCTGCCATGTGGCAGTGAAAGGAAGGTCTTTCCCATTATACAAACTCACTTTAAAGTTTCCTCTTTCCTTGGCTTTCTTGGCCATGGAAACAGTTTTACTATACATAAACACATAGGATGTCTTAAGATATTTATGGAACTTATGGTTTTTTATCTGGTTCCCCTAAATTCTTGTTCTCAGACTTTTAGAGTATGGTTGAGTTACATTGTTTCAAGTTTAGTAGTCTTATATGAGAATATAAATAGATCAAATTACATGGTTTCATCAAATGCATATATGAATATGTACAATATATACATATATGATTTTTATTCTTATAAAATATTTCATTTTAAGTATATTAAAACTTCCAAACAATGCTAACATATTAGGGCTGATGTTTGTTTTCAAAAGGAGTAACAAATCAGTTTTCCATAGTGAAACAAAAGCACCTGATGTTAATGTAAAAATATAATTCCAGGATTAAGAGATGTTTGTTTGTTATGATACTAGGGATTGAACTGCCCTGGCACTGGCACTGAGCTACATCCACAGCCTCCCCTGGCCCCTACTTTTTTTCTTTTTTTAAGACAGAGTCTTGCTAACTTGCTGAGGATGGTCTCAATTTATGATCCTCTTGCCTCAGCCTCCCCAAGGGACTGTGTGACTATGCCTGGCATGTTTGTGATTTTTTTTAAAAAGCTTAAAGGCTTGCAAATCATTTGAATTAAATCAAAATGCAAAAATTTCAAAAATGAAATTCAAAACAATGTTTAAACAATGATTCTAAATTATAAGCTGATAAATCTTTTAAGGAGTAGGTCTTTAATTCTCAAACAATTTTAGCTTACTTATTGAATTGTTCATGTCAGAAGCACCAGCCCTTTTTATTTTTTATTTTGAGATAGGGTCTCACTAAATTGCTTAGGGCATTGTTGAGTTGCTGAGGTTGGCTTAGAACTTGCAGTCCTCCTCCTCAGCCTCCAGAGCTGCTGGGATTACAGGCATGCACCACTGTGCCTGGCTTCAGGAGCTGTCCTAGATGACTCAGTTCTAACACAGTGGTGAGGTGTAGATGCAAACACATGACAGAGCTAGGATTTTAGCTCAGTCCATAAAGCTTAACTATTTTACTTTACTTCTTCACAAATAATTGCACTTAACTTTTCGTACTATCTCCTTGAAATGACCATGACCTTATAAATATGTTATTTCATATTACTAATTTTTATTATGTTGCAGCAGGGGTGTTCATTGAATTTCTAAATATAGGTTATCATGTTCCTTAGATAGTTTACAAACAAGACATCTACTGAAAATAGAATTTTAAATGAAGATAGCTTAGGATTAGATTTTACTATAAAGCATTTTAAACTTTTTCTTAAGAGAATTATTTTATAAAATGTTTTTGAAATGCTTTCATCAATGAAAGGAAATAAGATTAGCAATGTGTGAGATATGCCTTGTATTTATTCTTCATTGTATGCCATTCTGTGGTGTAGATTTCTTTGCTGAAACAGAATCTGGAAATTCAGCTTTCCCAGTCTCAAACTTCTTTGCAACAACTGCAAGCCCAGTTTACACAAGAACGACAAAGACTTACCCAAGAGCTTGAAGAATTAGAGGAACAACATCAGCAGAGGCATAAATCCTTAAAAGAAGCGCATGTTCTCGCATTTCAAACCATGGAAGAAGAAAAGGAAAAGGAACAAAGAGTAAGTTTAATATGACATATGTTCAAACGTAATTAACCTTCAAATTCTTAAGAATTTTTTTTGCCCCAAGGCATTATGTTTTATTTTTATTTAAATAAATTTTCCAATGGGGAGGAAGAGCATGAGAAGAAGATCACCATTAAACAGGGTCGAGAGGGGGGAGGGAAAGAAAGAGAGAAGGGAAATTGCATGGTAAAGGAAGGAGACTCTCATTGTTATACAAAATTACATATAAGAGGAAGTGAGGGGAAAGGGGGAAAAAACAAGAGAGAGATATGAATTACAGTAGATGGGGTGGAGTGGAGTGGAGTGGAGGGGAGGCGGGATAGTAGAGGATAGGAAAGGCAGCAGAATACAACAGACACTAGTATGGCAGTATGTAAAAATGTGGATGTGTAACCGATGTGATTCTGCAAT